ATCAAACTCTTCCTCTGTATTGAGCAAACATGTACTCTCCTTCTCTTTCTCTTCTTGGTCAAGATAAGCCAACAACATTCTATGTTCCTTCTTGGATACCGTCACTTTGTTACCACAATCTCTAGCAATGTGTCCCATGCCTTGGCACTTGAAACAAACTTTTTTCGCCAATGCAGCTTGTTCGGGAGTAACAACAATCATCTTCCCTTCATTGTTTGAATTGTTAGAGTTGATATTCGAACCCTCACCATTAAAGAATGACTTCCTCTCCTTGAAATAAGAAATTTTCTTTTCTTTCTCCTGTTTCTCAAATCTCTCTGCCAACCTTAAGACATCATCAAAGAACACATAATTTGATGTTTCCACCTTGTGAGAAATCGAAGGTGTTAACCCTTTTATGTATCGTCCAATCTTCATCTCCTCTTTTTCCTGCAAATCACAAAGCATGCACAATTTCTCAAACTCTTTAGTGTATTCAGCAACACTAAGATTCTTTTGTTCAAGATGATTCAACTTCAAGAATTGATCTTGGATAAATTCCCGTGGTAGGAACCGTTTCCTTAATTGTCTCTTCAACTCACTCCAAGTATTAATTTGTGGCTCATCTTCTCTCAATCTCTTGGCACGTAAATTCTCAAACCATAGAGAAGCATATCTCGTCAGTTTTAGGTTTGCAACCTTTTAGGCTTTTTGCTCATCAAAACCTTTATAGTCAAAGACCTTTTCCATCTGACGAACCCAATCTAAAAAGTCTTCGGCATCCCCATCACCTGTAAATTCCGGAAGTTCCAACAACTTCAAATCTCGATCATTGTCAATTGGAAAATTTCTCATGATTCCCCTAGGTTGTTCGTTTTTGATTATTCTTCCTTCCCCAATCACTTGAGTAGACAAAGTTTCAACCCTTTGATTGGTTTGAGCAATTTCTTGTGTACTCTTCTCAATTTTCTCATTCATTCGTTCAAGACTCGCATTAAAATTTCTCATCATTTCAACAAGCATAGTATCAAGATCCTCCTTTGTTAAAGTACTCATGATGTCGAAATAATATTCAGAAAATTAAACACAAGTCCCAAGTTCTCTCGTCAACAAATAAAACCAGTGTCCACAACTATTATGCTACCCAAGAATTCAATCGCGCGTCAATAAGTAACCACAATTTTAACAATTATACGATATCAATTAACTGAATTCCCAAAGAGTACTTTTTGCTTCACAAACTTAATGACGACACGTATATAGCAATGTAGTGTAATCTTTGGCAGCAAAGTAAATCAATGATGATTGATGACACAACTTTTAATAAAATTAATTCAATATTTTGGAAGCAAGTCTGTTAACTCACCAAGTAAATTAAAAGCACGCACCAACAAATAAAATAGGAGTTACGAGTACCTTTTGCGCAACAAACTAGTAACCGATGAATTCTGCAATTTATCCGTTTGGCGTACGAATGATTTTTTTATTTTTTTTTCAATCAACAAGATCGATCGTGTAAGTGGAGGGGACTTACAAACCTGGCTCTGATACCAATTTGATGCGTATTTTAACGGTTTATATTTAATGGAAGGATTTGAGTGATTTTAATGGTGGAAATTTGGAAGATAGTCTTAGAAGGCAACGACTTCTAAGTTTGATTTTAGGAGTAACGATCCCAAAACCCTAGTTAACAACTAGTTTGAACCTTAACAAAGTTCTCTTCAAGCAAAAGCTCAATAATCTCAAATTATAATTCATAAAACATCTTGTTAAAATAATTGACATACAACTAGTATATATAGGAAAAATAAATCTATCCTACTTGCCCTGCAAGCAAACTAAATAAAAAGCCCTAATAATTAATTAATGAACCAAGAGAGCCCACTAATTAATTAACACAACTTTGGAAGCCCAAGGCCCCATAACTACTACTAAGAAAATAATAAAAACATGATTAAAAACTCACTTGTAAAACCCCTACTTTAAGAGTAAGGTAAAACCAAGAGAGTACCTAAATAAAGCAATAAAAATAGTTATAAGGAAGGGGACTCGATTCACATCATAGCACTGTTCTTAAGAGGCCCAGAATTTATCATCTGTGAGGTATTGAATCTTCTTTTAATAGTTTGAGCTGGTTCTTGTATCCTATGGCAAGCTCTAGTTTGGGTAATTGGTGAACATCCCAACTTTACAAGATTATGAAAGTCTTATACCAAGCCATGATATTTTGGAATCTAGAATGTTTTGGTATTGAAATGGGTATAGGATTGCAAAATCCTACTTGGTTTTGCTAAACTACTCCACATCTCTGTGCCTAGCATCACTCAACTATCCAGTATAGCTTAACAAAGGTAGCTAGTGGCCAAATGGCCTATCTTTCCCACATAAAGATTTGTTTATTTCTGATGTCTGTTGGAAAAAGGAAGGGAGTGTAGGGATTACTTGTTCATATATCCAAAGAAGGAGAGAACATTTCTAGTCAGCTGGAAATTAAGATAGAAATATGGAAAAAGAAAACTTGTATGAGTAAATGAGAGCTGGACAGAGGGAAAAGTGCACTGGTCTCAGGATCTTGTTACCCCGTTTTATGTTGGTTTGTACTTCGTATCATTTACCAATGGTTCATCATAAACTGTGGCATGTGGATCTTGGAGTGGATTGAATCCTTGACTTGGTATGGTAGGTCGGCACGTGCTACTGAATCCTCAATGCTCTAAGCATCTTTGTTTTGAAGTTCACTTGACTGTTTTGGGTTGTTAATTACTTATAGTGAAGCATGATTTTGGAATAATATTTGTATACACTTAAATTTCAGTATAAGCTTTGTCTTAAATAAATAATTTGGCATTTATTGACCAGGTCCAAGAACATAATCATCCACACATTCTTCTATTACAAATTGGAAACACTTTCTGCAAACTTCCTGGTGGTCGTTTGAAGCCTGGTGAAAATGGTATAACGTTATGATAGTATCATCTCAGTGCTTTTACTATCCTAGCTCTGTCACAGTTTACTTACTTTATTTTTATTCATTTATTGTGAACAGAAATTGAAGGTTTGAAGAGGAAACTTTCTAGCAAACTCGGTGCTAACTCGACTGCTCATCAACCTAATTGGCAGGTATGATACTTTGGTGTCCTTTACGTTGTACTAATTCTGATTATCTGTCTCTAACACCCTTTTGCTCTTTCCTATTTGCTGTTATTCTGGCTTCATGAAGTGTTTATTTAAAGTAAAATCCTAGTAGTGACATATTCCTAAGAATATTAAGGTCTAAATGTTATTTTGCAGATTGGTGAGTGTGTTGCTAACTGGTGGAGGCCAAATTTTGAAACAGTGATGTATCCCTACTGCCCTCCTCACATCACAAAACCCAAGGTGAAGGATTTATTTGACGGTGCTCCTTTCTTTTCATGAAGTCTTTTGGACTAGGCTGACCTTGAAAGATTTTGTAACAGGAATGTAAAAAGCTTTTCATGGTCCACTTGCCAGAGCGAGAATACTTTGCCGTACCAAAAAATCTTAAGTTGTTGGCCGTGCCCCTCTTTGAGCTTTATGATAATGTTCAGGTTTGAAATTCCAACCAATGAATTGTTCATTTTTCTTTTTGGTCCCTCAAATGGCAATTTATTTTTTTATTTTTTTATTTTTATATAAGCATAAACCGTGCCTTAAGTTTCTATACATTCATAAGCACTGCATGCTAGTATGTTTTCGGCATGCTATGTCTTGATTGGATCAGTTGTTTACTAGAAAAGTAAAATGAGTTGTTTGGTGTTGGCGTGTTGCAGAGATATGGACCAGTGATCTCAACCATCCCTCAGCAATTGTCAAGATTTCAATTCAACATGATCTCTCCTTGATTTTCTAATCTACAACTTCACTTAAACTTGTGTGGTGTACTGATCAGTTTGGACGGGGTAGTGCCAGAAGCAGTGGTTGTTGTGTTATTGGTGGCTGTCTTGTTTTGAGATAGTAGCAGATCCACACTTCATGGAAGCCCAGCTTTGCTGACTATCTGCCTTCCCTCAGTTTCTGATATATCTTATCATCATTTTAGCATTAACGTATCGTTAGGAGATTCAAGGTTACATTGTTTCACAGGGTTTGTACTGATATGTGAACCTTCTTGCTTGTATAATGTTTGTTTTAGCCTTTAGTATTTTGCCGCCTCTATTTAAACTTCCTACATTATGTTTCTTTTTATTTTTTTTGGTGGTTAGAGTTGTAGAGAAGCTTTAGTTAAAGATTAGTTTTTCTGTACTTGTCAGTTGATAGGAAATTAGGTCGGCATTCTTCATACAGTCGTCTGCGAAGTTCGAACTGGCTAAAATGTATGCCCTTTGTTGTTCCACTATTTTTTAGGTGTTCTCGAATCGTATCATTTTTTTGGTCTAAGATTCTATGATTTAGATTTGTGTATACTCAAATATTTATAGATGGAGGCAGATTAGAATTTGGAGTATTAAGCACCTCATAGTATATACTTTAGCCGATGTTTATCAACTTAAGCTTAATTGTAATGAAGAATTGGTTAAGATTAATCATTGAAAATCATGAATGGTCAATCTTGGCCAAGCTTTCGGTATCAAGCTCAACATTGATAAAGTGGTCATGGGTTGAGCTATGTCCAAGGATAACAACACGCATAACTTGTTCAAGGGTGAGTTATTGTGAACTTGTTTCCGTTCATTAATATTTAATAACTTAGTACTATTAAAGCTGACTATAACCATTGTCAAGCGACAACTACGCACATTGCGTGTTTTGAAAACAAAATTCATGGCTTGTTTAGAACAAGTTCACAATAACTAAGCACATTGCGTGTTTAGAAAAAACAAAATTCATTGCGTGTTTAGAACAAGTTCACAATAACTAAGTACATTGCGTGTTTAGAAAACTAAGCACATTGCGTGTTTAGAAAACAAAATTCATTGATGCAGATGTTGACAACTCCATATGTACGATTACATGCACAATGTGTTCATTTGCCAACACATATGATGAATGTGTAGGCATTAGACAACATGTTGTCATGGAACGAGCGCAAATCGCTTGTGCGACGCCTGAATCCTCAGGCTTGATCCAGGCCAGCCTTCCCCATATGCGCAACAAGCTATTAAATAGAGGAAATAACACACAGTGACATTAACCTACACCACAAACACATGCATCAATAAAGCACACAAGCATAGGAAGGTTGCTTCATATAGAACTTGCTGTGTAGGGACATCGGGAAAACTGTCAGCACGTGACAACATGCTGACAGTTTTCCCGATGTCATATAAAATCCAAAAAGTGCGAATTATTTTCAAACTTATGTCATGTTATATTTTTCGTTGATTGTCATAATGCTCCCGGTGTATAATATAACAATTGACTAGTACAATTTTTTGCTTAATTTAGTAGCGAAGTGTGATCTCGTACCCCTCTTCAGTGTAGGTCTACAACATTATTAAAATGGCCACAATTTCCCTAGCAACAGGGCATTGTGCAAAAGGAAGATCAGTTGATTCTGAATCAATTTATGAAAATAAGTCGAAGTCATATTTTGGCAATGGTAAGAAGGTTCTTGCTAATGATTTTCTTGAAGGTAAAATCATGAGCTTAAATATGTGTGTATTAAGGCCCTTAGAATGCTCTAACTATAAGAATAGCAGAAAAAGGCTCAACATTATTGCTAAACTTAAGAAAGGGAAGAAGCATGACTACCCGTGGCCAGATGATATCGATCCTAATTTATCGAGTGGGCATTTGAGATACCTCTCTCACTTTAAGCCTTTGGAAGATAAACCAAAGCTTGTGACACTTTCATTTGAGAAACCATTGGTTGATCTCGAGCAAAAGATCATCGAGGTCAGTGACTTCCTTGGTTCATCATATAATTTTGTAATTGAACCTTACACTGGATTGTGCATTACTGAACCTTACACGAGTTTTCCTTGTGCATCAGTCGAAAAATATTGTCCATCCTTTGAAAAGTGGTCATCTCTTACTTGCAGGTTCGTCGAATGGCATATGAAACTGGTCTAGATTACAGTGATCAAATTAGTGCTTTGGAGCTCAAATATCAGCAGGTAACAGCATATTATAAAGTCTTTTATCATCTGCAGCTTTTTTTTGGGCGCTTTGTCTAATGTTAGCAGTAAATTTTAGGCAGTACTGGACTATACATAGCTGTAGTAAGTAGGAACATTCCTTCGTTTTCGATCATCTGATGTGCTAATTCATCATTGTTAGGCTATAAAAGATCTGTACACCCATTTGACACCGATTCAACGTTTAGACATTGCTAGACATCCCAACAGGCCAACTGTCCTTGATCATGTTCTGAACATCACAGAAAAGGTAATTTAGTTGTTGTAATGAATATATCCAATTTTATTTGGGAATATCTAATGATCATGTTCTCGTCTTTTTCATACATCTTTTAGTGGGTGGAACTCCATGGAGATCGTGCAGGCTATGATGATCCAGCTATTGTAACTGGTATAGGGAGCATCGATGGTAGAAGCTATCTGATCATCGGCCATCAGAAGGGAAGAAACACAAAGGAAAACATTTATCGAAACTTCGCTATGCCAACTCCTCATGGGTATATAACTATGAACTGACAAACTAGCTTCTGAGGGAAATTTCAGTGAATATTGTTTTGTTTTTGACAGAATGGGTGACCTTTTAACAGGTACAGGAAGGCTTTGCGCATGATGAAGTATGCCGACCATCATGGTTTTCCCATAATTACACTTATTGACTCACCAGGAGCTTATGCTGATCTCAAATCTGAGGAACTCGGTCAAGTGAGTGGACAACTACTTGTATATATGTTTTAACTTTAATTTTTCGACTTTAAATGTGATAATACTAGGGATGAAATGATTTGTTTCACTGAGCGCAGGGTGAAGCTATAGCTCGAAATGTATGGTCCATGTTTGGATTGAGAGTTCCTATCATCACAATTGTAACTGGTGAAGGTGGTTCTGGAGGAGCTGTGGCTATCGGCTGCTGCAACAAATTTTTTATGCTTGAGAACTCTGTTTGTTATGTTGCTAGGTATTCTTTGAGGTTATGGTCTTTATATGGTTTCTCTAATGTTTTTATAAATTTCGTCATCAATATCCAATACTCATACAATACCTTATCATTGCTCTATTGACAGTCCTGAAGCATGTGCTGCAATATTATGGAACTCATCCCAAGCAGCCCCAAAGGTATATGAATTTTACTCTTGCTATGTTGTTAAATAAGTTTTCATAGAATACAGCCTTATTAACTGCAACAGAATCTATCTTTTACATGAAAAGGCTGCTGAAAAACTGAGGATAACAGCTCAACAACACCTCCGGCTAAAAATTGCTGATGCTATCATTCCTGTAAGTGTCTCTGAATTCTCATATTTCTGCCTGGAATCAGACAATCTCTGGCTAAAAACCATTGTTGTAAAACTTCTTTCATTGGCTCTAAATTTAGCCTTAATATACACTGGATTCTTTCAGTTCAGCAAATCAGTTGTGTTTCATTAATTGAATTTTCTCATTTAGCAAGGCGTGTTGCTTTGTTACAGGAGCCGCTTGGAGGAGCACAATCTGATCCTATATGGACATCTCAGCAGATAAAGACCGCCATTTTACAAGCCATGGAGGTCAGCCATTATGACGTGATAACTATGATGATTTACCCAACTTCCATCTGCTGATGCTGCATTTATTCCAGGAACTAGGTAGGATGAGTAAAGAAGAGCTGCTTCAACAGCGTATGCTCAAGTACCGTCATATTGGTGGGTTTCAAGAAGGCATCCCGATTGATCCAAATAAGAAATGGAAGATGAAACCTTCAGATATTAATATGTCAGAATCTGCTGATATAGAGACTGAACTTGAGAACTTCAAGAAGATGATTCTAGAAGCGAAGGGATCAAATGAGCAAACAAACCAAACAATGGAAAAGATACAGGAGGATGTTGACAAAGAGATCACAAAAGCGTTCATATCCATGGGCTTACAAGGGGAACTTGAATCACTCAAGTTAGAGCTAGCTATATCCTCAAACCCGCTTTTGAGCATTGCTCTGAGGGAAAAAGCAGATAGACTAATGCAGGAATTCAGGCTTAAATTGTCCAAACCAGGTGAGTTTATGGGGCTAAAAGAGAAGCTAGCTAAATTTGCAATGCTAAACAGGCTCATAGAGATCAAGACAAAAGGTGACAAGATAAAAGCGGAGATCAATCAAAAAGTACCAACAAAGGTAAAAGAGAAGTTGTTGCTACTAAAGTCTGCTGAAGAGAAATTACTGCAAGGCAAAGAAATAGATAAGGAAACAGTAGAAGGTGTAGAGACTACAATAAAAGAGCTCGAAGAGGTCTTGAAGTCGTCTAACTTAAAGATTGTGGGTACGACAAAGAGGGTTGAAAGAAGTTCTCTTCCTGATATGAACAAGAAGCTATCAGTGTTGAACAATGAGATGAATGGAGAAATCGAAAGGGCTATAGACAAGGCAGGCCTTAGGGAGAAAATAGAGGAACTGAAGACGGAGATTGCAGAAAACTCAAGCGTGGAAAAGGTAACAAGACTACAGGATGAGATAAAGGCGAAAATTGCTGCTGTTATGAAAGCTGAATTTCTGAAAGGGAAAGTAGATGATCTGAAAGATGAGTTGGTGTCTCCTACAGAGGTAATTCTGCTAGGTAAGCTTGGTGCTGAAAATGGAAGATCATAATCAGATTTGGAGTGCAGATCTTAAACCTATGAGATTGTATATATATACATATCAAAGCTTTTCATAGCTAAGATTGAAATAAGCATATTTTTGGACAGTCCAAGGATAATATTGGAATATAGAACAACCAACGTACAACGATATACTATATCCATATAAGATAAAGGAATACTCTCTCCGTTTTTTTAATAGTTGTTTCCCTTTGATCACTTTTTTTTAGTACATATTCGATTTTATGGTTTAAACATGTGTTAATGTATACTCGTATTTCCCAAAATATTAAATTTATACAATTTATATCATAGACATTATGATCAAGGTTTTTTTTAAAAAAAATACATAGTCAAAGTTATGCGTTGACTAATGACTAAAGATATGTGAAAACTTTCTATTTATATAGTGCAAACAGACAGGCAATAGCAATCCCATCACACAAAAATTTGAGATAACGGTTACAAACAGTCAAAACTAACATTCCCGCCTTTTTTTTTTTCTTTCTCTCATTTCTAAACAAGAATGTTGAAGCTTAGAATAACCACAGCAATGGAGTTCAGACAAATGATAGCAACAATCTCAACCATCTCCAACACTACGTACATCGAATTCTCCGAAAACTTCACCCTCTTTCACAATGGCGGAGCCAGGATTTATAATTCGGGGGGACAAATTGTGGAGGTTAAAGTTTCGGCAAAAATCTCAAGAAAAAAATTGATCACCTAAGTTGTTTAATATTTATTTGAAATCACATACGCCAATTATTTCTATATGGCAAAAGAAGAGTAACAAAGTTTTATTGTATATTAATAAATTATCCAACAAAAATGAATAAATTTATGTTTGTAAATCCCGTTATGTAATCACATAATTGATAAATACGAATTAATTACCTTGTCATAAAGTCAAATAATTATCGTTAAAACAAATTGAGGGTAGATATGAAGGGCCTGGGTTTGAGTTACATTCGAAATAATAAACTCAACTTTCTCAAATCAATCATATTATTACATTAAATTAAAAAGGCTGTTGAAAGTTAGAGTATGTAATCAGAAAACAAGAAGTAGGGGAAAAAAAAAACAAAAAAGCTGAAAAACAGTAGAGTAGGGAATCCTAGGACCAAGACACAGTCTTACTAAGGACTCAACCACCAAACCATATTCAACATTGTAATATTTACTGTAAGTATATGTTATTTATAGCCTTTTACTGTATTTTTATTTTTTTTTTTAAAAAAAAAAACTTTTTTTTCGAAAATGGGGGACAGCTGTTGGCTCCGCCACTGATATATACATACACTTGCTAAGCTACTTCCATCAATTCATTTTTCTAAGATGTTGTAACAAACTTATTGCTTTCTCTCCTAGTTGCTAAGCTTAGCTTATTGAATGCTGTATAAATACATGTTTGTAAGCATTATTACAACTTAAACTATTCAATCAAAAATTCACAAAATCTTCTTCATTTTTGCTCTCTATTTTCTTCCGGAAACTTCTGTTACTTTTCACCATTGTTGAACCTCTGGTTCAAGCTTAAGATCTTAACAACCATCTCTCCGCCTTCAGCCGATCAAACCCACAAAAGCCTTCCTCTTCGTCCCGTTGTCCTCAACAAAAAGACACTCTACTAGAAAAGAGTGTAAATTATTAGGGCCATATCAACCCCGTAGGAGAAGGCTTTCGTTCGCGGCGGCATTTTGAACAACCATAGGCGGCGGTGGTGTTGGTGTGCAGCGGATCGCGTGGAGGAAAAAGTGGTTTCTGGTTCCAGAATAGGGTGAAAAATACAAAGTTGCCCCAATTTTTCCAGGTTTTTGGCTTCTTTTTACCTTTCTTTAATATCAACTCTCTAATCTCTAATCTACTACTATAAAATTATTTTCAATGCTTTTATAGTTTTATGTGTGTTTGATGTGAACGAGCCATCCGAACAGTACAATTCGTATACATACATGTCCTTTATTAGTTATTTTAATACGTTGCTATATATGTACTTATATCCTTAATGTAAGGAATAAAGCATATTAATTTATTACGAGACGATTAAAAACCAATAACTAAGTAACTAAGGGTACGGTAAAATAAAACCAATATGCATAAAATCTAACTAGTTACTTTTAATTGAGTTGCAAATTACATTAACATAAAATGAGACGATAAAAAAGCTAGATTAAAATAATTAAAATGAAAGAAAGACAATAGTTAGAGCCGGACGATGGACGATAGATGGTCATCTTCACCTTCCATGTTTTCCTCGGCGACGACCGGGTACGGTAAATTAAAACCAATATGCATAAAATCTAACTAGTTACTTTTAATTGAGTTGCAAATTACATTAACATAAAATGAGACGATAAAAAAGCTAGATTAAAATAATTAAAAAGAAAGAAAGACAATAGTTAGAGCCGGACGATGGACGATGGATGGTCATCTTCACCTTCCATGTTTTCCTCGGCGACGACCCTTGTAGCTTGATTTGGCGCACATCATCAACTAACTGATTCCTCATCGGGGTCGTAAGAAGGTCGTCTACGTGCCCCCGGTCCTAGTCCGTTTGCCTCTTTTGTTCACGAGTTTAACCTCGGCAGGTGCTTCTCCTTCTTGGACAGTCTACTTAAGGCAACCGTGTGTGCCGTAGAGTTTGACACTAAAGTTGGAGTTTCCTAGGTATGTAAATACCATAAACTCTCCAACTTTTGTGTCATTTTCTCTTACGAACTCTTCCCAACCCTTTCTGAAGTAGAATTCTTCATCTTCCTCTTCCAAACCCACTTTCCATTCTTGGTTTGTTCCCGGTCGGAAGATTGTAGCCTTTCTTTTTACGGCGGATTGTAGGTGGGTTTTAAAATCGGAACAAATGTGCTGGTCATATAAGAGAGGGAAAATAATTATTAGTTGAACAAATTACGGAGTAGTAATAATAATATACTCGTACTTGATAAGAAAAAGTGTACATAAGTACATAAAGAAAATGATCGGGATTATTACCAATTGGTTTGAGCAATGATTTGGGAGAAACACTTTGAAGAATTTAGGGTATTCGTCGTCAAAATGTGTTGATGAACTGACCATTTTTTTCACTCGATATGTTAAAAAAAAAAGTTTTATGAGACAGAAATTAAAGAATAAGGAGTGGGTTAATTAAAAGAGAGAAAGGTCTAGAGAGTGATATTTCATATTCTCTATAATGCATCATGTTCTTTCACCATAGGTATAAAACAAGACTATAAGTAAGGGCAAAAATGGACTTAATTGGTAATAATCTTTAATTTCTGAAAGAACATGATACATTATAGAGAATATGAAATATCACTCTCTAGACCTTTCTCTCTTTCAATTAACCCACTTCTTATTCTTTAATTTCTGTCTCATAAAACCTCTTTTTTTAACATATCGAGTGAAAAAATTGGTCAGTTCATCAACACATTTTGACGACGAATACCCTAAATTCTTCAAAGTGTTTCTCCCAAATCATTGCTCAAACCAATTGGTAATAATCCCGATCATTTTCTTTATGTACTTATGTACACTTTTTCTTATCAAGTACGAGTATATTATTATTACTAATCCGTAATTTGTTCAACTAATAATTATTTTCCCTCTCTTATATGACCAGCACATTTGTTCCGATTTTAAAACCCACCTACAATCCGCCGTAAAAAGAAAGGCTACAATCTTCCGACCGGGAACAAACCAAGAATGGAAAGTGGGTTTGGAAGAGGAAGATGAAGAATTCTACTTCAGAAAGGGTTGGGAAGAGTTCGTAAGAGAAAATGACACAAAAGTTGGAGAGTTTATGGTATTTACATACCTAGGAAACTCCAACTTTAGTGTCAAACTCTACGACACACACGGTTGCCTTAAGTAGACTGTCCAAGAAGGAGAAGCACCTGCCGAGGTTAAACTCGTGAACAAAAGAGGCAAACGGACTAGGACCGGGGGCACGTAGACGACCTTCTTACGACCCCGATGAGGAATCAGTTAGTTGATGATGTGCGCCAAATCAAGCTACAAGGGTCGTCGCCGAGGAAAACATGGAAGGTGAAGATGACCATCCATCGTCCATCGTCCGGCTCTAACTATTGTCTTTCTTTCTTTTTAATTATTTTAATCTAGCTTTTTTATCGTCTCATTTTATGTTTAATGTAATTTGCAACTCAATTAAAAGTAACTAGTTAGATTTTATGCATATTGGTTTTAATTTACCGTACCCGGTCGTCGCCGAGGAAAACATGGAAGGTGAAGATGACCATCTATCGTCCATCGTCCGGCTCTAACTATTGTCTTTCTTTCATTTTAATTATTTTAATCTAGCTTTTTTATCGTCTCATTTTATGTTAATGTAATTTGCAACTCAATTAAAAGTAACTAGTTAGATTTTATGCATATTGGTTTTATTTTACCGTACCCTTAGTTACTTAGTTATTGGTTTTTAATCGTCTCGTAATAAATTAATATGCTTTATTCCTTACATTAAGGATATAAGTACATATATAGCAACGTATTAAAATAACTAATAAAGGACATGTATGTATACGAATTGTACTGTTCGGATGGCTCGTTCACATCAAACACACATAAGACTATAAAAGCATTGAAAATAATTTTATAGTAGTAGACTAGAGATTAGAGAGTTGATATTGAAGAAAGGTAAAAAGAAGCAAAAAATCTTTAGTTGAAATAAATGAGGTCATCAATGATCAGACAACTCCAAAGCTGAGGAGAAGCAAGAAAAGGTTAAATGTTGAGTACTGCATGCATACTGTATATCTTTATAAAAAAAGTACTACTACTAGATAAATGTTACAGTAAATTAATTAAAGAAAGTTATTGATAGGGAATAGGTAGAAGGTCTAGTAAATGGTGCTTGTCGTTTGTGTAAAAATGGTTTGCTGTTTGTTTTGGAATGATTTGCAGCTTTGCTAGAATGGGCTCAAGAAAAAAAAAAAAAAAAAAAAAAAAAAGAAAAAGTCTCTTAGTTTATTTAGTGTTCATTATGGTGTTGATTTATGTCTACAGTGTTTTTTGGAGTAGTATTTCTTTCTTTCTTTGTTTAGTATTATTATTTTATTAATTTTTTCTTTTGGTACGAATGAGCTATAATGTCAAGATTTGAAGATTTTGATCCTACCTTAGACATTACCCTTTAAAATTTTAACCAATTCAACTAAACTTGTTTACATTCACATGTGATATATAACACATAAGCTCATTTG